ACTTCGGTTCTGAGCCATATCACCTAGGGTCTCCAACCACTGGTTCCTCTTGTCCCGTGGACCCCAACCACCTAGTCTGCATCGTCCTACATGGCTTAAACCAACAGTCAGAGACTTCATACATTGGTGCCATGTTTTAGTCTGGCCACCTCGGGCCTTTTTCCAGCCTGGACCCACCTCAGCCAACATTGTGTGACGAGGCAATCGGTGACTAGGCATACGTAGTACGTGTCCCAACCATCTCAGTCGATGAAGGTTCACAACCTCGTCGACTGACTTACCTCTTCTCCCTAAAACTCTACACCTAACTTCTGCATTACTCACATGGTGACACCACGGAATACGTCCTATACTACGAAGGCAACGGTGGTCAAATACCTGTAACCTTCTCATGTCTTCCACTTTCAATGGCCATGTTTCACAGCCATACAGTAGAACAGAGCGGACTGCTGTGCAGTACACGCGACCCTTAATAGACAAACGAATATCACGGCGGCGCCATAGGTGGCGCAAATTGGCAAAAGCCAATCGAGCCTTTTGTATCCGTGCAGAAATCTCATCGGCAACTAACCCACCGGGTTGATCCTACTTCCCAGGTAAGTGAAGTGGTCAACACACTCAACCACTTCACTCTCTATTGTTAACCGCGGTACCGCTGAAGACCAGTCCTGGAGCAAAAATTTGCATTTGGGTGGTGAAAATCGCATCCCAAACATTCTCAAATTCCCACTCAAAGTGTTCAGAAGACTCTGCATCTTGTCAGCGTCTTCACCTAACAGGACTATGTCATCTGCATATTCTAGATCTAAGGAAAATTCACCTGTGATCCGGTCAACGTCTTTGTAATTAGGTGACGAGAGGGAAACCTCCATAAGAATATCTATGATAAAATTAAATAAGAATGGGGATAGTGGGCATCCTTGACGGACACCACTTGATGAGTATAGCTCCCTGGACAACTCACCATAGGCTCTAACATGCCCACAAGTGTTCGAGTAGAGAGCTTTCAATAAGGTGATGTACTTACTAGGCACGCCTTTCAGTGACAGACACTGCCATAAGACTTCTCGATCAACGGAGTCAAATGCCGCCTTCAGGTCGAGAAATACAGCTATTGTCGGGCGTCTGTAAGCATGCCTATGTTCCAGGACCTGGCGCAGTGTGAATATTTGGTCGATACATCCACGGCCAGGTCTAAAGCCTGCCTGGTTTTCTCGGGCTTGCTGTTCCCGAGCTCCACTCAGGCGTCGGAGAATTATAGAACTTAGGATCTTAGTCAGGCTGATTCCTCTGTGGTTATCACAAGAGGACTTCTCGCCTTTCTTGAAGACTGGGATGATGAGTGACTTAGACCAGTCGGAGGGGATCGTATTTGATTCCCATATACTGGCTAACACTTCCGTTAGCCTGACTAAGAGAACTCTACCACCATTCTTGTATACCTCAGCAGGTAGTCCGTCTGGTCCTGCTGCCCTTCCCCGTTTCAGGCTACCTACCGCTTTCTCAACTTCTTCTAGTGTTGGGGGACCTGTCTCTATGTCCCATTCAGGGTCCGACTGGATAGCGGGCAGCGCAATGGTGGCTGGAGGCCAGTTAAACTGTTCCTCAAAGTGTTCTGCCCATCGTCCCAGTCGCCTTCCCTGCGAGTGAATCGCCGATCCGTCCTTCTCCGCTATAACCTCACTAACTGTTGTTGACCATTTCCCCCCAGTCTCCTTAATAAGTCTAAATAACTGTCTACTGTTACCGATCGCCGCTGCCTTTTCCATCTCTTTAGCCTTTGCTGCCCACCACTGTTCACGATCGTTGCGCAGACTTTTCGTCAGTTTATTTTTAAGTTGCGCTCGCTCTTCATTGTACTCAGAGCCTGCAGGGATGCATTCACGTGCATCCATTAGTTTGGAAGAAGCTGCTGATATCCACTGGCTCTTTTTAGCCATTATCTTGGAGTCGGCTACAGTCTCCAGTGCTGCTTTTACAGTAGACTGAAGATGGCACCAAGCTTCTTCTGGATGAGTGACAGTCTTTTGTTCCGATAACTGCCTAGCCAACTTCTCACTGAACACGGCTTTGGTGTTTTCGTTGTCCAGCAGAACTCGTAGTGGTTTTGTTGCCAAATTTTTTCTACGTCCATTGAGACGCAGGCATATACGTGCTCGGACCAACGCATGATCGCTGTCCAAACACGTACTCCAGAAGGAGCGGCAGTCTTCCACCGATCCTCTCCAGCGATGACTAATAGCAATGTGGTCTATCTGTGTCCATCGCTGAGTCGAGCTCGGTGGACGCCAGGTCAGACAGTGCCTTTCTTTATGTCTGAAATTTGTGCTGGCTAAAAATAGGCGGTTATCTGAGCATAGTTGTAATAGGCGATCACCGTTATCTGTACGTTCAGCTGGGATTCCGAAAGTGCCACCTAAGTGCCTTTCTGCCTCACTCAGTCTACCCACCTGTGCGTTGAGGTCACCTGCAACAACCACTACGTCCGAACGTTTGGCTTTCGAGAGGAGGTTAGACAGTTTATGGTAGAACTCGTCCTTCACTTCATCCGAACTACAGTCAGTGGGTGCGTAAGCAGAGATTACAAAGAGACAACGGCGAGTCTCACTATTCCTTTTAGTTCTCACTGTGCCGTTCAGCCTCATAGCGCAGAGGCGACTATCAACTGGGATCCAGTCTAGTAGTGAGTTTTCTGCCCTGGTGCTTAATGCTATACCTACACCTGCAAGACCACGAGAGCTAGCTATCGAATCTCCAGAAACTCGAAGGGTGAATTTTGCAGATTCACCAGATTGGTCAGGAGAGGTCAGGTGAATAACCACACTTGGGTCCTGTATGCGTGTCTCACAAACACAGCACACATCCATGCCCGAGTTGCTAGAGTCTTTGCCAACGAAGCCTGTTGGCCAATTTGACGGAGGGTGCGGACATTGAAGGCTCCAATATGTAATTTGGAGCGTGGTTTAAGGAGACCAGGAGTGCTGTTCTGTGGACTCAGATCGTTGTCGAAGGCTGCAGAGGTAGGAGAAATTGAAGATGATGCAGCATCATTAATTAAGAGACGTGAAGGAAGATTAGAAGGTAATGATGGAGGAGGAGGATAGCAGTCAGAAGAAACTTGGGTGCTGACAGAGTTGTGAGGGCGGTTGACACTTCCCGGCTGCCCACACCGTGGAAGGCTATTTCTTCTTAAGGTACCTGAAAGAGATTTGTGTGACCGCAGAGCCCATCGGACATCTGCTTGAGGCCTGTCACACCCAGCCTTTTGAGTATGATTATTTTGAACTTTTGTATTTTTGGGGCCGGATGGTCGAAAGGAAACGACAAGTGAACCAACACCGCCGGCCCGGCAGACCGTGGGGCGTGGTGGAGTGTGTTATTTTTGGGGCCGACCTTTTCTAACCCCCCCTTCCACTGAGAAGGCAGCATCAGCTTGGCACTGCTGGTCATCCAAGGGAAACACCTTACTGCTGTCACACCCCATCCAGCTAGCAGCAGTACGACTTCGCCCTCAGACCCCCATCATAGTGTAGCAATTTACACTATAACGGTAACTGCTTTTCGTCTAACCACTACCCAACAGACCTTTCTGGTATGGTAGGACCTCGAGGGAACAAGCGTTCCACCAGCATAGCTCGTTGGGTCATTGTGATATGCAAGCCCGACCACCACGTCAAGGTAGCAGCTATCGGTCGGGTATCGAACCACTATATACGGCAACCGAACCAATGTATCTGTGTGCGATGTTCTGCATTGTTCTACCCTGTTAACATTACTTGCACACAATATAGAGGCTATTGTTGTTATGATACTTATAATTTCCCGTTGCTATACGGGGCCAAATTGCTCGACCTCTGTTAGCACATGGGTTCCTATGCGGATGCTTCGATATTGCCGGGTATTCATGATTTGATATTCATCTTGGTGACTAGCAGAGGAAGCCACGACGTGGTTTTCGTCCCATCTGGGACTCGTCAGCTGGATATACCTGCACTTTTGTGAGTGACGTTGTTTCCACAAGGAGTGTCTATCATGCCCCAGTGGCCTAGTGGATAACGATTTGGTGTTTGAAGTGATAGGTTTTGGTTTTGAGTCTAAGTGGGGACAACATCACTCATGAAGGTGCAGGTACATCCAATCGACGAATCACAAATGGGACGAAACGCACATCTTGGATTCTTCTGCTAGTCACTAAGATGAATATAGAGGCTAATTTAGTATAATAAAAATGCGCGGACTGTGAACCTGTGTGAATGAGATGGCACATTTAACCACTACTATCCGACTATTATGGGAAATGATTTAGAAACATCGGGTTATTTAAACCAGAATAGGACATCACACTGGTCGTTTAGCTGCATCAATTTGAAGACGTTTGGGTTAAATGACTAGTCTCACGTAAAATAGAAAAAACGAACATGAAAGCCTTACATTACGTGACTTGAAAGAGATATCAGTCTCATAAATTAGCACCGTCAATGTTGATCGCCTTTTAGACTACATTTATTCCTTTACTACCTGGATTAATAATCTACCTGACTTTATGCTTCCTATCAGTTTTGTTTATTGCACTATTTAAAAGCTAGCTTTTATATATATATATATATATATATATATATATATATATATATATGAAAGTAGACACATGAACAGTAACCGTCACATACCCATCCGTGAAGGTGTGTTGCAACGTCAAATGAGTACATATATTTACAATGGCCCCGACTATTTCTAAGCCTTTCTAGATCATATTCTATTGATTTTGCCTCTTCTATCAATGATATTTACACGTACTTTTTCTCGAAACTTCGGGACAACATAAGTTGGTTATAAAGGCTTCAGGGATTTTGGGCTTTTTATTGCGTATTTGGGCAATCTTACTGAACACTACAACAGAGTGATGCCCTATAATTTTAGGTTACGCATCGTTACAGTCAACTACATTAATTCTTATGGAGTCACAATTATATGCCTATAAACATGGTAAATAATAAACTCACCGGTAACATGTCACCGTCCAGTGAACTGTATTTACTTAGACAAGCGATAGCACGTTGTAATGAATGCAGTCGAGTAAGTACACGACATCCAGACGAAAATGCAGTTAAAAGTGGATCAACATCAGATAAATTTAAACGATGACAACAGCACGCCTTGAATAAATTTGCCGCATCAGTTAAAGCATTGGAACCGTCTGTCTTCGATTTCTTTGTTGGCGTAGTTGACGATGATGATGAAGACAACGAACATCTATTATCCATCATGAGAACAGCGTCAGATTTCTCTGTTTCCTGACTACTTTCGTATGATACGTTGGCTAAATTTGTTGGTAGTGCTAGATCAGCATACGGTGTATCCTCTAAACTGCGTCCAATGAAAACTAGACTTCCCATAAGATGTTCAAAATCTGTGAGGATTTATAAAGTCAAACTTGTTATTTTACAACCAAAAGTTAGATGATAGTGTTATCTATAGGATAATCAGTTTAACAAACTACTTGAATAAGAAATGCAAAATGCTTGTGTACAATAATTCAAAATCTCAGAGTCGATAAAAAACTATAAGAACAGTTCACTTTTTTCATCCAATTATCTTAAATGAATTATGGCGTTCATAAAGTCTCAGTCACCTTTAGCAGCAATTTCTCTTAATGATAATTTGTATGCAAAGTTTGGTTAATATCAACTACTTACTAGGCCAATTAAGACATAGAGTTCGATAACAAAGTGATAGTCCGATCAATTTTTAGCCACTACAACTTCTTATATTCTCATCTTGCGGAGCTGTGGCTCATTGAATGATTTCGGACGTTGACTTTCAATCAATGGGTCACGGGTTCGAAGCCCGCTCCGACTACCAAAGTTTGGATAATCAGGCATTATCATTAGCCCCCAAATATTAGGTGTGCCTCACTGCCTACTGCATGAATATGTACAAAGTTCCTGAGTAAATTTCGATTTCGATATTTCCATATATGATGTGGAGTGACTTTTAACATTTCGATAACCAGCTGATTATATATAAACAGCATAGATAAATCCTGATGTAGAGAATTCTCCACAAGATTAGCAGAGACCGACTATTATAGTAAGGTAGACGCCATTAGTACAAAATGTCAACCAAATTCTTTTATCATTCACTCAAAATTCGATCTATGAAATGATCATTTTGAATATCTCAGATAGCCGTGGTTTGATAGAGTTGTATTAATACTGGGTGATGATTGAAGGTGAATTGGAAATTTGGACCGCGGCAGGATTCGAACCAGTGACCACCAGGTTTCCGACCCAGTGGTCTACCAATTGAGCTACGAGGTCCGAAAACCCGGTTGTCACTTTCACCTTCAACCATCACCCAGTATCTATGAAATTACTTCTGCAAGTGACGACTTCCAGAACTTAATTAACTATAATTGTTGAAGGGGTAGACAGTTAGAGACAATGGTAAATAACAGTTCTGAAAAACTGTGAAGTTTGATTATAAAAGTATCCTCAATTTCCCACACCTGGATGTACCTGCACCTTCATGAGTGATGTTGTCCCCACTTAGACTCAAAACCAAAACCTATCACTTCAAACACCAAATCGTTATCCACTAGGCCACTGGGGCATGATAGACACTCCTTGTGGAAACAACGTCACTCACAAAAGTGCAGGTATATCCAGCTGACGAGTCCCAGATGGGACGAAAACCACGTCGTGGCTTCCTCTGCTAGTCACCAAGATGAATATCAAATCATGAATACCCGGCAATATCGAAGCATCCGCATAGGAACCCATGTGCTAACAGAGGTCGAGCAATTTGGCCCCGTATAGCAACGGGAAATTATAAGTATCATAACAACAATAGCCTCTATATTGTGTGCAAGTAATGTTAACAGGGTAGAACAATGCAGAACATCGCACACAGATACATTGGTTCGGTTGCCGTATATAGTGGTTCGATACCCGACCGATAGCTGCTACCTTGACGTGGTGGTCGGGCTTGCATATCACAATGACCCAACGAGCTATGCTGGTGGAACGCTTGTTCCCTCGAGGTCCTACCATACCAGAAAGGTCTGTTGGGTAGTGGTTAGACGAAAAGCAGTTACCGTTATAGTGTAAATTGCTACACTATGATGGGGGTCTGAGGGCGAAGTCGTACTGCTGCTAGCTGGATGGGGTGTGACAGCAGTAAGGTGTTTCCCTTGGATGACCAGCAGTGCCATGCTGATGCTGCCTTCTCAGTGGAAGGGGGGGTTAGAAAAGGTCGGCCCCAAAAATAACACACTCCACCACGCCCCACGGTCTGCCGGGCCGGCGGTGTTGGTTCACTTGTCGTTTCCTTTCGACCATCCGGCCCCAAAAATACAAAAGTTCAAAATAATCATACTCAAAAGGCTGGGTGTGACAGGCCTCAAGCAGATGTCCGATGGGCTCTGCGGTCACACAAATCTCTTTCAGGTACCTTAAGAAGAAATAGCCTTCCACGGTGTGGGCAGCCGGGAAGTGTCAACCGCCCTCACAACTCTGTCAGCACCCAAGTTTCTTCTGACTGCTATCCTCCTCCTCCATCATTACCTTCTAATCTTCCTTCACGTCTCTTAATTAATGATGCTGCATCATCTTCAATTTCTCCTACCTCTGCAGCCTTCGACAACGATCTGAGTCCACAGAACAGCATCCTGGTCTCCTTAAACCACGCTCCAAATTACATATTGGAGCCTTCAATGTCCGCACCCTCCGTCAAATTGGCCAACAGGCTTCGTTGGCAAAGACTCTAGCAACTCGGGCATGGATGTGTGCTGTGTTTGTGAGACACGCATACAGGACCCAAGTGTGGTTATTCACCTGACCTCTCCTGACCAATCTGGTGAATCCGCAAAATTCACCCTTCGAGTTTCTGGAGATTCGATAGCTAGCTCTCGTGGTCTTGCAGGTGTAGGTATAGCATTAAGCACCAGGGCAGAAAACTCACTACTAGACTGGATCCCAGTTGATAGTCGCCTCTGCGCTATGAGGCTGAACGGCACAGTGAGAACTAAAAGGAATAGTGAGACTCGCCGTTGTCTCTTTGTAATCTCTGCTTACGCACCCACTGACTGTAGTTCGGATGAAGTGAAGGACGAGTTCTACCATAAACTGTCTAACCTCCTCTCGAAAGCCAAACGTTCGGACGTAGTGGTTGTTGCAGGTGACCTCAACGCACAGGTGGGTAGACTGAGTGAGGCAGAAAGGCACTTAGGTGGCACTTTCGGAATCCCAGCTGAACGTACAGATAACGGTGATCGCCTATTACAACTATGCTCAGATAACCGCCTATTTTTAGCCAGCACAAATTTCAGACATAAAGAAAGGCACTGTCTGACCTGGCGTCCACCGAGCTCGACTCAGCGATGGACACAGATAGACCACATTGCTATTAGTCATCGCTGGAGAGGATCGGTGGAAGACTGCCGCTCCTTCTGGAGTACGTGTTTGGACAGCGATCATGCGTTGGTCCGAGCACGTATATGCCTGCGTCTCAATGGACGTAGAAAAAATTTGGCAACAAAACCACTACGAGTTCTGCTGGACAACGAAAACACCAAAGCCGTGTTCAGTGAGAAGTTGGCTAGGCAGTTATCGGAACAAAAGACTGTCACTCATCCAGAAGAAGCTTGGTGCCATCTTCAGTCTACTGTAAAAGCAGCACTGGAGACTGTAGCCGACTCCAAGATAATGGCTAAAAAGAGCCAGTGGATATCAGCAGCTTCTTCCAAACTAATGGATGCACGTGAATGCATCCCTGCAGGCTCTGAGTACAATGAAGAGCGAGCGCAACTTAAAAATAAACTGACGAAAAGTCTGCGCAACGATCGTGAACAGTGGTGGGCAGCAAAGGCTAAAGAGATGGAAAAGGCAGCGGCGATCGGTAACAGTAGACAGTTATTTAGACTTATTAAGGAGACTGGGGGGAAATGGTCAACAACAGTTAGTGAGGTTATAGCGGAGAAGGACGGATCGGCGATTCACTCGCAGGGAAGGCGACTGGGACGATGGGCAGAACACTTTGAGGAACAGTTTAACTGGCCTCCAGCCACCATTGCGCTGCCCGCTATCCAGTCGGACCCTGAATGGGACATAGAGACAGGTCCCCCAACACTAGAAGAAGTTGAGAAAGCGGTAGGTAGCCTGAAACGGGGAAGGGCAGCAGGACCAGACGGACTACCTGCTGAGGTATACAAGAATGGTGGTAGAGTTCTCTTAGTCAGGCTAACGGAAGTGTTAGCCAGTATATGGGAATCAAATACGATCCCCTCCGACTGGTCTAAGTCACTCATCATCCCAGTCTTCAAGAAAGGCGAGAAGTCCTCTTGTGATAACCACAGAGGAATCAGCCTGACAAGATCCTAAGTTCTATAATTCTCCGACGCCTGAGTGGAGCTCGGGAACAGCAAGCCCGAGAAAACCAGGCAGGCTTTAGACCTGGCCGTGGATGTATCGACCAAATATTCACACTGCGCCAGGTCCTGGAACATAGGCATGCTTACAGACGCCCGACAATAGCTGTATTTCTCGACCTGAAGGCGGCATTTGACTCCGTTGATCGAGAAGTCTTATGGCAGTGTCTGTCACTGAAAGGCGTGCCTAGTAAGTACATCACCTTATTGAAAGCTCTCTACTCGAACACTTGTGGGCATGTTAGAGCCTATGGTGAGTTGTCCAGGGAGCTATACTCATCAAGTGGTGTCCGTCAAGGATGCCCACTATCCCCATTCTTATTTAATTTTATCATAGATATTCTTATGGAGGTTTCCCTCTCGTCACCTAATTACACAGACGTTGACCCGATCACAGGTGAATTTTCCTTAGATCTAGAATATGCAGATGACATAGTCCTGTTAGGTGAAGACGCTGACAAGATGCAGAGTCTTCTGAACACTTTGAGTGGGAATTTGAGAATGTTTGGGATGCGATTTTCACCACCCAAATGCAAATTTTTGCTCCAGGACTGGTCTTCAGCGGTACCGCGGTTAACAATAGAGAGTGAAGTGGTTGAGTGTGTTGACCACTTCACTTACCTGGGAAGTAGGATCAACCCTGGTGGGTTAGTTGCCGATGAGATTTCTGCACGGATACAAAAGGCTCGATTGGCTTTTGCCAATTTGCGCCACCTATGGCGCCGCCGTGATATTCGTTTGTCTATTAAGGGTCGCGTGTACTGCACAGCAGTCCGCTCTGTTCTACTGTATGGCTGTGAAACATGGCCATTGAAAGTGGAAGACATGAAAAGGCTTCAGGTGTTTGACCACCGTTGCCTTCGTAGTATAGGACGTATTCCGTGGTGTCACCATGTGAGTAATGCAGAAGTTAGGTGTAGAGTTTTAGGGAGAAGAGGTAAGTCAGTCGACGAGGTTGTGAACCTTCATCGACTGAGATGGTTGGGACACGTACTACGTATGCCTAGTCACCGATTGCCTCGTCACACAATGTTGGCTGAGGTGGGTCCAGGCTGGAAAAAGGCCCGAGGTGGCCAGACTAAAACATGGCACCAATGTATGAAGTCTCTGACTGTTGGTTTAAGCCATGTAGGACGATGCAGACTAGGTGGTTGGGGTCCACGGGACAAGAGGAACCAGTGGTTGGAGACCCTAGGTGATATGGCTCAGAACCGAAGTCAGTGGCGCAGATGTATACACACATTATCCTCATCTTAACAACGCTATACCGAATCTCATCATTTTGTCACTCCTCTTTCCTTTCTTCTCGTACTTTATATTTCTTTTGACTGCATTCACTTATCTTCATCCTTCACCTCACTACCTTTTTACTTGATGTGCTGATATGAGATGTGGCAACTCAGACCGTTACGCAGTAATGCCTGGTCCTATGTTGATGATGGTGATGAGGAGGATTACTAGAACAGGATTATAAAGGGATCGAAGGTGAAGATATGGCAAAAAGCTATAAATAGCTTGGCCCGATCTGAGCTTTAAAAGGAACTGCAGACTACCTACTCGAAGCTCTTGAAATGTTAAGAGCTTTGGTCGTTGTTGGTGGGCACAAATATGGATAAGTAAACTACTATACACTTGCGGGAATCTCTTTGTTAAAGAAACTAGGAGAATTCGAGAAGTCGTTAGAGGACGTGCCACATCAACCTTGTCTAACGGATGACATAACTGACCGTCGCGTGGTTATATGTATTCAGTAGAAGTACTACCTGAATACCATGACTGATGAAAAAAAGGCATTTAGTCTAGCCACAGTCAACGTTTAGTGGGAATCCAACAACGTTTGAGTGATTATTCACAAATTTTATCATCAAACAAATCTCAGGCATTAATAGTAATGGATAGATTTTATAAAGAATTTTAATAATTTAGGCATGGGGATTATTATGACAGTGTGTTTATGAATAATCCACAAACTCATGATGTAACACTTCTGCATATTTCAGTCATTTGCACTCATTAGATATACTTTGTATTTGTGTAAGTTATAAGGTGTTTGAAACGAAATAATTTCAACGTTTCGCAGGGCAGTCTAGTCCGACCTTACTATAAGAAGAGAATTGGACAAGGAGATTAAATACACGTCTTTGGAATTATTTATATATCCTTGACATTTTAATTTCGATTATTTCCCGGAAGAAGCTTGCACCAGACTGCTGTGCGAAACATTGGAATTATTTCATTTCAAACACGCTCTGACTTATATAAATACAAAGTATATCTAGTGACCTTTTACTCAGCGACCAATATTTGCCATACTCTATTCGATCAAAGCTTGATCATATTTCATACAAACATTTACACTCAGTTCGAAATATACTCAGCAACGACCTGCGCGTTCGCGTAGTAGGCAATAGAGCCTATGTTATTATGTGAGAATTAATGATTCTACCTGACCACCCATGTCAGGAATCCCTATATCCTTTATATTCCATACTTCCAACTTTTACATTTAGAACCGTTTTTGTCGCGCACTTTTTTCCGCGAATAGGTCACAATTTCATATAACCCACTAGCATTCTGATTGGTTCCTGCCTCTTTAAATGTACTAAATATTCCTTGTTTTTCAAGGTTACTGTAATCTCAACCAATAAACGTTTTCAGTTCGAGACACCATAAACCCAACTGATTACCAGTTTCCTAATTCCCTTCTGAGAAACACTTGGGTCAAATCATTAATTATTATTTTTCACCCTCACAACTCCGCATCGTAACAACCCAGACTACAGTAGTTGAAGCGACGTTTGAACCAATGACCCATCCTTGAAAGTCAGATGTTTAGACCAATAAGTCACGGCTGAGTTAGTGAGATTTGATCGCTGAAATTCATCTAAGAATAGACAACATACGTTGAAATCATCTGGATGATAATACTACTTAACGGTACACTTCTGAGAGTTCCAATCACTCATCGGGATGAGATATTAAAAATCAAAATGTGTTTCAATGCACAACGAACGCATGATAGTAGAGATTATAAATTAGTAAACTGACTCTGCAGTAAGTATTACACATTACCTTTAACCTCACTTGTTACATAACGTCAACATTTTATCAAAGTAATCTACATACCTGATGAATAATCAGAAGCGAAAGGTACCAACTGGCGGGCACTTTGAATTACAGCAGCTGGATCAACAGGTTCCCTTTGTATTGTTGACAAGAAATCTAATTTGGCTAGACAGTATTCTAGGTGCCTTGCTTTATCACCTAGATTTTCACGATTATTTGATAACCATCTACGGTAATATAAGAAAAATAAACACGTCAAATTTATAATTACAGTTAAGCGTTAATCTGACTTACGTTAAGGAAAATGATACGAGGAAACATAAAACAACTGGAGAACGAAAATATAAGCTAAGTTTCTATATGGTTCAGAAACTTGGTGTGTTACGAAAAGCATTTCCAACAAACTGCAGACATTCATCAACAGCTGCAGCCTAAGCTCACTCGATACTGAAGATCAGATGGATGGCCAGAAAGAATAAGCAACAGGAAACTCCGGCCTGGCTATGAACCAACTAGGAACTTATCGCCCAACAAATATGCAGAAGGAAGTGGAGATGGGTTGGACATATAATGAGAAGATCGTTTGGGGACATCACACACCACGCCAAGCCCTTGAGTGGAACCGAAATGGGAAACGATGCGTTGGGCGTCTGAGGATGACATGGAGGAGATGGTGTGAGGGAGAAATGAAAGCTTATAAGCAGTCGTGTAGCCAGGTTAAAAAGACTGCAGAGAATAGAGTGAAACGGTGACGTGCTACTGAGGCCCTATGTCCCACTAGGAACCCAAGAGACAAATTATATATATATATATATATATATATATATATATATATATATATGGTTTATATCTACTTCCTTTTCCAACTTTGATTTAGGTATTTCAATGGTTAGTTTTGTGTGGTGTTAAATCTTTCGTAGCCGAAACTTGATATCCTGTTGACACTTCAACGCATTCATTTTCATATGTGCACTGAGTTAATTATTTTGAATCAACAATGCTGTGCCAGCATCGAAAACCAAATTATATAATCATCCCTGTAAACCAGTGTGCGCTTGTAATTACAAGAATAAACTATCATTATTATCTATAACTTTTTGTTGATTTACTTGTGATTCCCGGTTGTTATACTGGATCGAGTTGTTCGACTTCTATTGGCATATGGGCTCCTATGCGGGTGCCTCGATATTGCCTGAATATTCCGCTAGCTGCAACCGAGTAAAATACTGTAATAAATTTTCAGGCAATGTCGATGCATCCGCATAGAAGCCCATCTGACAAGAGAGGTCGAACGATTCGATCCAATAAAACAACGGAGAATTACAAGTGCATCAACAAAAAGTTATAACTAATACCCGTTGTACAAGAGGTAGCTACCGTGCCTCAGTGGCCTGGTGGATAACGCTTTGACGTTTGAAGCGGTGGGCACGAGATTCGAGTTTCAGTCGGAACGACATCACTCACTGGGGTGCAGGTACATCCAGCCGACGAGTCCTAGATAGGACGAAACGCGCATCCTGGATACTTCTGCTAGCCACAATCAAATAACTTACCGTATTATTATTACTACACAAAGAAAATCGCTAAAAACTACTACATAAAATAAATGTCCGTAGAACTCGTATAACATGGGATTTCGTTAGTTTCACGTGAACAGAAAAGACAAAAAGAAAATTAGCTAAAAAGAAAGAATATCATCCCAGCAAACTTTCTGTTTCAAATGATACAATGATACTTACTTTCTAGCTGGATCTAATTCCCCACACTGAGTAGACAAAACTACATCACTAAGCTCCTTAAATTTTTCCAAGCCTATATCTTCTTCAGTAAAGCCAAAATTCTGCAGGAATATGACGAAAATACAACATATAAATAAAAATCAAAAACCACTACTTTGATAATCTGAGAAGACAAAAATAAAACAAGAGTTCATGCTTACTAACTTGATGCTGAAACCCAGAAGACCAAAGAATAATTTGAATCTAGTTGGAAATGATAAAAAACAAAGCTTAGCACTATTACAGTAGATAAAGCTGAGTCTGACTGATGGAAATTTGTTTTGTGCATTTTGTTTGTTTCTAAGAGTATAGCTGAGCGTAGGAAGGAGGCTAATCTCACTCGTATATCAGAGTTGAATCCCATTATAAAGGCAGATGACATCAAAAGATTTCTGGTGTTTGACCACCATTGCCTTCGCAGCATAGGCAGCGTTTCGTGGTGTCACCACGTTATTAACGCAGAAGTCAGGCAAAAATTTTAGGGAGGAGAAATTCAGTTGGTAAAAATGTGAACCTTCATCGATTGAGATGGCTGAGACAGGTAATACCCATGCCTAGTCACCGTCTACCTTGTTGCACAATCTTAGCTGAAGCAGATTAAGGCTGGAAAAAGGCTCGGTGACCAAACTAAAACATGGCATCACTGAACGAAGTCTTTGACTGTTCCTTTGAGCCATGTTAGAAGATGCAGATTAGCCGGTTGGGTTCCACATGATAATAGAAACTAGTGGTTGGAAACTCTAGTTGATGTGATTCAAAATCAATGGTCAGTGTCCACACTTCATCCTAACCGATATACTGAATTTAGCTTTGTCTCATTCCTCCTGCTTCTCGTTTACCAACTTTCTCCTGGTTTCTCTTCTTTATTCATCTTTCATCTTACTACTTTATTACTTGTTGTCCTGATATGAGGTGTGGCAACTGTACCGTTACGCAGTAATACCTGGTTCTGTGGTGATATGGATTGATTTCGACTGACTCCTATGCAAAACTCATTGAATGAATCCAAAGTACCCTTTCTGCATAAGGAGATAAAAGTGAGTGAATATTGAGGTAATCTGATTGTTCAAAAAGAAATCTACAACAGTAACGCCAGTTGGCTGTTTTCCACACCAAACAAGAGAATAAGTTACAGCAATTCCAATAAAGGCTTTGTTGTATGTCTTTATACAAGTTTTTTCGTACAGTCGTTCAAACTGCTGAATTTTCACTTTTCCATGATGGCATTGTACTTTGATGTGGCATATTCTTGGCAATTAAACCGCACTACATTTCTTTAAAATAAGCGTGTGATATAAACTATCAGTAAGGTATGCTATTACTTACATGCATTAAATCTACAGCCAAAGACTCATGACCTTCACGAAGTAAGTGTTCTATGATAACCAAACGTAAAAGATCATCTGAAGTCTTAGTTGTTAACGGATTTTCATATAATAGTGGTGTATTTATAGCAGCCTTCATTGTAGACTTAGAAGTCGGACATTCTTTTTTCTCTCGGTTCGTGAAGTAAGTAGTGAGGTGAGAGAGATCATCAACAAAACTCTAGAAGAAGACGATCAGTACATAAAATCTTTACCTTATCTACAAGCTTTCCAAATTTAGAAATCGGCAAGTGAATATCACGATGAGATTTTATATAATCTGATAGTTTTGATCTTGCATTCATAACAAATTGACCTGTATGCTTTTTGACATCAGTAGAACTATCAGCTACAAATAACAGTAAGAGAATGCATGTTACATACATATGTCATTTGGATTTATTGCTAAAATACAGACGATTTCAAAATAAGGATAAATAACAAGTAAAGATATCATTCGCCTGCCATAGATGGCCTTCTCATGGATGTTTATGATGTTGGGTTCATTAAAAAATGGTAGACAGTATCAACAAGGGACCGGTTCACGTTGTCATACCTCAAATCAAAATACAAACACATGTGGTGACAAGATCAAAGGCGAGGAAGTGAAAATGATGTGCAATAAATGAAATCAACCATCACTACACACAACATTTCAACATCACTAGGCATATGTGGTTCTCCAAAATAATAAAAAGAAAACAAACATAGCAAATGTGTATATAACCCTGTTGGTTCACATTTGTGAAAACGATGCAGCTTTCTTTTGTAGAATAAAATCACTTTTAACTCGTAGTTCAGTGATGGAAATAACCCCCATCTAACCATTTTGCTCTAAGCTTATATTTACATCACTTATAGGAGTTTATGTCCTTAGGTAGTACCACTCATCTATGCAGACTGGCTGGTTTAAAACGTAATATATAAACGTGCCTATGCTGAAGAGATTACAGATCTTATCTATAACATGAAGAAAGTCAGACAGCTAAACTGTCAACATCTGATACGTTCAGGGAGTGATCACAGTTGCCGACTGTTTTAAAAATATCTTTTCCTGTTTAATAGCTCCTATTTTGACTTGATGGTCATGACTGTATATTATAATGACTAGACCGGTCGTAATGGTGAGAAAATTTATTTCTTAAGCTCCTACTAAACCGGAAACCTATGGTAGATATTGATAAAACAGAAACCAGTTACAGCTATAGTGCGAGTAGCTACGCTATGAGGAATGGTGCGATGCGAAACTACTACTACCAGCTGTGAAATAAGTGAGACTTTTCTAGTGGACAACCACTAGTCGATGCAGAAATGCCTTCACTATCGAAAAACAGAAAGCTCTCTGTTGCCCGAGATCTTGCAGTCTACATCAGCATAGGACCTAGGTATTACCGCGCAACAATCTAAATTGCCACACCTGAAATCAACACACCACGTGGAAAGGATCTAAGATAAAAGATTGTAAATGAGGAAGAAAATAATCAGAAATGGTAGTAAGTCATCAGTAGAGAACAAAAAGGAAAATAACAAAGGAATTCCATAAGGGGATTGAGATGGTTATATGGTGCGCCACTGAGGTCCATCCCGAACTATGTCACCCGGAGTTGTCAACCACTGATGTTGGTCATCACATGGACCCAAACAGGAAAGTCGACATCCCTCTACATGGCTCATGCCAATAGTCAGACTTCATGGACTATTGGAGTCGTTTAGTCCGACCACCTCTAATCTCTTTACAGTCTGAACCTACTTCACCTAACTTTGTGCGATGAGGCAGACGGTGGTTAGACATACGTAACGTAGGTCCCAGTCATCTGAATCAGTGCAGGTTCATAGTCTCATCAACTGGTGTCCTTCTTTTACCTAAAACTCCACACCTGACTTCTAGGTTACTGACATGGTGGCATCATGACACACGTAGTTTAACAGGAATGACAAAAATCATGGATTCAATGTGATACATTAAAAGGTTTTCAACGATAGGGGATGCACGAGAACTCACGTATTCGGCTCAGACATGGAGATGATGCATTTGTAATCTTGAAAAGATCGACCCTGAGAACTTTTCGAAATTAATTCATACCCATTCTTCAAATATCAAACTTACATGTGAATACGAAAATACAAGTGGTGAACTACCATTTTTAGACTGTTTAAAAGGAATAAAAATGGGAAATTCAGTTTATCGATCTATCAGGAACCCTTTAGTCCACTTAAAAGAGAGAATTCCTCTTACCTTCATGCAGAATTGTCTAAAGACTAGGCTATATCGATTTTGAAGCTTATTCTATTGAGGATACATCCCGTGAAATCCTCATTCGCGTTAAAAAAAAAATATGCAAGCTATACAAAACAACCTCCAAATAACCCTGTAGAACTGTGTCCATTTACTATTAAAACATGTGGTAAGTCGTACAGGCTTTGTTCTCTGAGGAATTGGTTTCCATGAGATTGCGAAACGTCAGAAACCTATTTTCCTACCTTAGTGGAATTTAAAAATATATTTCCCTTAATACACTATTTACATGATTGCTATGATATCAGATTGTCTATTAGAGTCGAGTATGCTGTACTACTGTTTGCTCTGTTTCACTATATAGCAGTGAAATACGGCCACTAAACGTAGAGGATATGAGAAATCTTCAGGTGTTTGGCCATCATTACCTTTACAGCATAAACAGCGTGTCATAATGCCACCACGTCAGTAACCTAGAAGTCAGGTGTGGAGTTTTAGGTAAAAGAAGGACACCAGTTGATGAGACTGTGAACCTGCACTGATTCAGATGACTGGGACCTACGTTACGTATGTCTAACCACCGTCTGCCTCATCGCACAAAGTTAGGTGAAGTAGGTTCAGACTGTATAGAGATTAGAGGTGGCAGTCTTAGAGTTCATAAGTCAGGTTATCCTATATGACCCGTAGCCGACCAGAGAAACATTCCAACTTATGAGCTATCGAAATTTTCAGCAATGAAATTAGGTACCACGAAAAACTGTTCTCAGTCGAGGCTTATTAATTCTTATCAGATAAAACAAAGATTATAGGACGTACAATCAAACGATAGTGAAAAAATGGTCAGCTTTGGTGTAACTTGCCTGTACATGAATATACCTATTAATACGGTCCTTAAGGCAGTTGGGAATGAACTCATCGTTGACTAACAGCTAACACAGGAACAGGATACCAGTCACAGAAATTGTTCTAAAGGTCCAATTGTGCTTTACTTCTACTGTCTTTAAGTTCCAGAGTAAAATATCCAAGCAAGCAGTAGTCATGGGATCACTAATATCTCCGATTGTAGAAGAAATATTTATGGACAGTTTGTAAATGCATTGTCTTAGGAAGACCTAACCCTACTTTAAAAGTATGGTAGAGATATGCGAAGAACATATTTACTGTCCAAGTCAGAACATATCAAAACATTTCTCACATATATAAGTGTAACAATTGAGATAATCACATCCGTAGTTGAACTAGAAAGTGATGAAGGAGAACTATTTATGTCGGATTGCAAGATAATAATAATAATAATGCCAAGTATTTACTTTACTCAAGACAATATTTTTGATACTATATGGAATTCTCGGTTTAGTGTTTCAAGAAATTTACTCCTTGTACAATGTTTTCAAATGATGTAATTATGATGTTTAAACAATGTCATTAATAACAGTATGATAAGCAGTAATAGATAACGGCCAGTTATTAGGCTGGCCTGCAGCCTGTAAGGTCATTGTTGCACGGAGGAACGAATAGAAAAGCACCCATAAGTTTGGTGGTGAGGGTTCACTCAGTCAGTATGTTAGTCAGCACTTACATCTAACTATTCATGTACTAACTGTATGATACACTGTTGTGCGCTCAAAGGCCCATTGCCATGAAGTTTTCTCGCGATTTTGTTGCTAACATGATCTGTTGACATTCGAATGGTGAAAACAAATTCAAAAGGAGTCATTCGAAATGATACATTTGATGTGAAACTTTTTGGTAGCCCAGAATTTAAGCAGTTCGCCAAAGGCAAGACAGAAGCTTAGATATTAGCGTCTACAGAAAAACTTCACACCCGAGTCAATGCTTAGAATTTAGGTCAACTCATTGGTCAAATATTTAAGTAAGGGAGTATGAAAACTGACTAAGCAGAAAATCTATGGGAAGCAGTGAAACGCGTAAAGGATGTATTACAATTATAATTATTATTCTTATTTTGCTCTTACTGTTATTATTTTTATTACTATTATTCAATAACTAACTCCGTGAGTTTATCCAGAAACACCGAAGGAGTAGCGAGGAAAATGGTGTGAATAATGCAATCACAGACACAAACAGTGCTGGTAATGAAACCATGAGGATGGACTTTACCAAATAAAGGAAGTCAGAAGCGCTACGTAGGATTCCCATTAAGACCAGGATTATGGCAGCGTTTTAGCCTAAAAACTCACTAAAAGAAAAGTCTTTTTCTTTTACGGAACCAGTCAAATAAAACTATTCGGTCTACCAAACTTCATCTAGCGAGTATGAGATTGAATATATGGATCGAATCAACCGATCAAAGTCAATTAGGGTAGCAGAACATAGAATCATCATCATGAGGTAGAACCGAACGTACTGAGAAGTACTTTCATCTGCCACTCATTACAATCTATCCAGATACTATTCACGTAGATTCTTTCATTCTTGATATACAGGAACGGTTTGAGGTATACTTGAGTAGAAAAGAATGGTTTGATGAGGAAGATGACGAAAAGGATATAAGATAGAACCCCAAGTAAGAAACGCTATAGTAAACATGATAATTATTTCACTGATGAGAACAACTATGGGAGTAAAACGAGATAAAACTAATGAAGTGTTGCCCACTGACATTCATGGTTTGGCAGTTATTACACTTCCCAGAAAACACTTTGAAAGGTTGCTCTTTCTTAACTGCGAAAAGAGATTTCTATATACTTTCGGTGTGCATAGAACTCACGAAAGTAGTTTTCTTTCTTAATATTCACATAGTTTACTAACTGAGGGAAATCAACTGACTTTAATGACCACTCTCCTATCCGACAAAAGCTTTCTTTTGGTGGGTATGATAACATTAAGAAATATTTTAGAAAGTACACTCATTGGTTTTCCGCCGGTAGGACTCAACGTTTCTAAAGTAAGTGCCTAATTAGATCGCATACGATTGACTTCATCCATGTAAATGCAGATTACATTTCATCCGGTATTCAGTGTGAAAAACAGTATGCCTGCACAAAAGGAGAGTGCGTTGTGAAGGCGCTTAATACTAAAAGGTCGAACACTACTCATAATTGAAACACATATGTTAGATTACTTACCATCCTGAAGAACTGATTGAAGTGAACTGAGCTGTGCTTCTAAGAAGCTGAAAGTTTTTTTTCTACATTCGTCGAAAAACCCTAACTTTTCTTCCACCTTAGACAATTCAACATCAATCCCTTCTAACTTCGAAGAACAATTTTCGCTCTTGTTAACCATCGACAAGCGCAAGTATCATCAAACGCGCCTTCCAATATCCAATATTGATAGTGGGAGCGTAGAAAACTGGTAGTTTTTGATCTCTCGAGTCTAGTTCTTAGGGCTTGGTTCGAGTTGTTCGGTTTACTCTTGCATTGGACGAGGAAATCCCCTCTGCTTTCTTGCTTTTAGCTTCGGTGAGGTGGATGTTTTGTGGGTTAGTAGGTTGTAATTTATAGAGTGATTAGGGAGCTACGGGTTGCTGGGAAGTTTAGAGAACTGCCGTGACTCCTGTCTGTGTAGGTACCTGGAAGAGAATAGTAAGGTAGTGGTAAAGGAATGAAGAGAGAAATAAGGAAGAGAAAAAATAATAATAATGTAGGGAAGGGAAAAGGGAAGGAGAAGAAAAGGAGGGATGAAAAGAGAAATGGGAACGAAAGAAAAGTATCTGGGAATTGCCTGAATGGTCGCATGGGTTTGGTTCCTACAGAAAAATTAGTAGGTAATGTGGGTGTATTAAGGAAAGAGAGATAGTGAGTGGTAGTTAGGAGAGAGTTGGGGGTACTGAGGTTGGTGACTACCTGAGTACGTACGGGGTAGTCCATGCGAGGTGACATAACTGTCTAATCGCCTCTTGAAAGAGTCGATTGAAGGAGCTATAACGATGTGTCATGGTAAGGCATTCCATAAAGCACATACTTTTAGGGAGAAAAATTTGGACCTGAGTGTGGTGTTGGCTCTCTGGTGTGCTATCTTAATGGGGTATCCTCGTGAAGATCGTTCAGTTGCAGGCAAAATTGATTTGTTTGCATGGTCTGCCTGATGGGCGATCTTGTATGCCATAATGAGGTCACTCCTTTTCCTGCGATAACCCAAGGTAAATAGGTTGAGGTGTTTAAGTCTTTCAGGATACGTCTTTCCCCTTAGCCCCACAACACATTTTGTTGCAGTTCTTTGTATTCTTTCAAGGAGATTAGAGTCTCTCTTGAGTGTTGGTGGGGCCACCGTATTGAAGACTTCTAGATACGACCGCACGTAGGATTTGAAAATGGTGAGGAAGAGTTCGGGAGTGAGGGCGCCAAGCTGTCTACGCAGAAAGTGTAGAATGGCGTTTGCTCTGGTTGCCATACCTTTGTAGTTGGAGTTGGTGTCCAAGGTGTCGGAGAAGTTGAGCCCCTAATTTTTCTCCACGGACACTCTGGTGATAGCACGGTTGCTCAACATGTACTGGAAGTCGGTCGTACTTGCCTCATTTTTACTGATGTGCATCACTTTGCACTTTTCCAGGTTGAAGCTCAGGCCTTAACAGTTTGCATTCGCACGAAAATACTATGCCAATAATAAGGTTAGTTGGCCAGTTCGGCGTTCGGCGTTTTTTTACTAAGTTCATCTGTGAAGACTCGGCTATCATCTGAATACCTTAATCGAGGAAGCCTACGTAACTTCCCCAGATTAAAAGAAGTGTAACGACCAATTGTTGATAAGTTATCGTCTAGCCTGTAGATAGGTACGTTGTTGCAGGGGGCGTGCAGAGCAGTTGGGCGGTGGCCACGAGAATCTGGAAAAGAAAAAAGGAAGAGAAGGAGGGTGAGCCAACGTCTCAGCGAGTACAGAAGCAAATGTCCACAGCAAGCTTATTCGATGGTGGTTTTGGGACCTTTTTAAAAACAAAGCACCTTTGAAGCAGTCATAGGATTGAAAATTTCAATGTCAAGAACACCGAATGGTAGTGTGAGCTGTTCACATCTCATTTCTGAGATTTCTCCAAGTTAGAAAAGTCATTCGAAGTACTCAACCTATTAAAACCAAAATTTGCAACACTACTGTTTCTGCGTAAGCCTGCATATTCGTCAACATACTTCTCAAAAGGAAAAAAAGATTATTTTTAATCCTTCTAACCTACCAGTCTACCATCTGTAAGTGGTTCTCGGTCGTGTCAACTGCCCAAATGCCTTAGCTTTCGGTGCTCTTCGAAGGCCATTCCCTAGGAAACATCTTTCCTGAATTTACTCACGTATCTGGGGTCCACGGTTTAACTCGTCGGCCAAGCGCAGAGGAAAAAGTGATAAGCGGCTGAAGGTAAGAAGACAAATTGTTCGCTTGAAACATTCTGTCCTCCTACTGCATTCAATCTTGGGTCTCCTTACCACCGTTAAATACTTATTTTCTTCAGAAATTTGTATGATAGTGTAGTTCTACAACATCGACACGGATAATGCGATCGTACACTATAAGGGACTGTAGCTCCCGAAACAACAATCCAGTCTGTATCAACAGCCAAATGATGCAGTGCAGAATACCGATCCCACAAAAAGCGGTCAACTCTTGTTTCTAGGATACCAGTCGCTATCAGACGGGTAACACAGAGTTTTCCTAACATGTTACAGACTAGTCCCACTCCTAGCGAGGATTAGACTATGCCTAATGGGAGGAAATGGTGTGGTAGGTGCAGGAGTAAAGAAGCCACACTTAGTGCACCACAAATAGTAGCATTATCTCCAAGGAAAGAAGGCTGTACCACGACATCCGAAGGCCACAGCATTCGCACTAGAGTCGTATCGGTAGTCGATGAGGCATTCACATACAACTTATGTCACCGACAGGTACATTGCCACTGTGACGGCGGAGTACCCCAACAACACTACCAGTTGAAGGAGTGGCAAACATGCAAACAGTCTCCGCAAACTCTTCCGGAATGAAGGAAGCTCCTAGCACTACCTATGAAGAGCCTAAAAGAGATATTCTCCACCGTACAAAGCCATCAACATCCCCTAACAAAGCGAGGTCAACATCAAGGGACAACATAAAAGAGCCTGAAAACAAGGCTGGTTGTAGCCATGCGCGCACCACAACCCACGGGGACCATTTTAGGTTTGGCTTCCGCATCTCCTACGCAGCAGCGGAGAACGTCAACTGCATAGAAAAAACGCCATCTACTGGACTCTCGAGAGAACCCAGCCCAAAAATCCTGAATGCTGCGATCGAGGAACAACCAGCAGAAATGCAGAACAAACAAACCAGGAGGCCGGGTTCGTCACCCATGGCGAACACAGGACACAGGAGGGACAACTCGGTCGTCGTGTTCAAAATCGATGCATCGATAGTCTCGCTGTCATTCGAGAGAGAACAATTTGACAGCCGAATGTGGGCCAACTACTACCAGATACTCGGGCGCCCCTCTCTCCCTACTACAATATGTCACCTTTCTTGCGGAAGCTAGGCACCCTAGGAAGAGCCACCCTCTTTACGTGTATCTTCAAGCACCGCTAATGGAGCCGAAGACACCGTTCTTCCCTCACGCTAGCCGGATATTGTCAGTGCCTGAAATATTCGGGCCAGGCCCGGCAAACCATGGTCATTAAGAGAGGAGGATAGAAAATCAGCAGTTAGGAATCCAAATGGAAACAATACCATGCTCATACATGGGACCCCAAAACCGCAAAGTGGCCGATCCGCCAAATATCGGCACCTCCACAACGTCCAACGATGGCAGTGGCCTTTGAACAAAGTTGGGCCAGACAGTACGCTGGCTAGTAGCCTCAGTAGACTGTCGAGGCCATCGCGCCTGAAGTCCATCCCCACTACTTGACAATTCGTTATCCAATTCGGCTCACTTGCCTCCCGCACAGATGTTCTACACGCCTGGCGTAACGTGAAAGACCACATAAGTGGCTCATTACGCATGTATGAGGGTAAGACAGGACCCACCAAGCAAGGAGACGGCAATCACCAAAACCTCTGAGGTCAGTGGTTGCCACACAGGCACTAGTCAATGAGTCGGGTACGTCAAGTACTGAGGCTACTATTGCGTAGTCTTGACGCGACTTGAGAGTAAAAAACCGGAAAATGGAGCGACGCCGGTCCTGTGAGGACTGGCAACCCCAGACCCAACCACTTAAGTTCCTCCCTCATGAAAATAAGCAACCAGCTCTTTCCTTTCACCTGGCATACCCTTACATGTATACACAGCAACGCTGGCTGTTGCCGGACATCGGCAGAAACACGCTCCACTGGCGTGGAACGCTTCTACGGGGACAGAGCTCAGGGTAGTAGAGGAAGCGGCTCCCCGCGTTAGCTCTCACTTAAAGACAACAGTAGTCAGCGATAGGGCTCTAATCCGGCCCTCAGAACTTTTATGCCGCTACCTCACCCCTCAACGAACCATGTGCCTGCTCGAGGTCATGTATTGGTCTCGCACACCCCCTCCTATACATAGGGAAATGGTCACCGCCGCGACCTTGGTGACCTCTTCTGCAGATTACGACCCTGTAATCATCGCTGGCGACTGACCTGACCCAAAGGAAACACACCACGCCTTGACTACTTTCCGATGAACGATGACCTCATTAGGGAAATATGCATCAAACCGCTTCCCTTAGCCTCTGCGATCATTCGGTATTAACTTTCTCCTTGATTACCAAAGAGGCTCTGGAACCTTAGATGTCTGACGCCTTCGCTTGTGACCGCAAGGCCGGGACAGATTAATTCGCGAATGCGTCATGGCCTGCAGACTGGATTCATCCCACAATCGATGGACACTAGATACAGATGAGGGAAATAATGGTTGAATCTATCGGTTACAGTGCGCCAGGACCAACACACAGGCCGTCATTGAGAACCCCATGGCTAAAGGGTGGGACAGAGCAGCTACTTCAGACCAAGAAGCAGGCTGGGTTCACTTGGCGTTCACCACGTAGGGAGTCCGACTTTTTGCATCACAAAGGAGTTTGCAACCACTCCAACATAAGAGGGTGTAGCGGCTAGTTTAGCTGTCAAACAAGCCTGGCGGAAAGGCCATAAAGTGACCCCAGGAACCCATACCACTTGATGTCGAAAAGGAAGTCTACCAGCGAAGGAGCGAATCCTATCACAGGTCCCGATGGAGGCGTCCCGAGCGGTCTAGAGATGGCTGAAATTTGGAACTCACGATCCCGAGCCCAGCTTAGTACAGACACCAAGTGCACTCCAACTGCATACGGCATTGATTAGACCATAACTAATGAACATCTCTGCACATCCTC